GCAGGCAGAAAAGGTTAAAAAGCAGCAAAGGCAAAATGCTTTGACTAGTTACTGTGAAAACATAATGAACTTTCTCTTCAGCCCTTCTGGTTTTGGTCATTTGAAAATAAGAGCTCTTCAGAGGTCTGTTGCCGTAGGGAGCAGAAACATTATCTCAGTTAAATATTTTGTTTGCCTAGTTTCCTGGCATGGCAGCTATTCAAATTTAATTTAGTGAGAAGAGAAAAAGAGGAAGGGAGAGTATGTGTGGTGCATGTATTTTACCTTCTACTATAAGTGCTTAAAGATGTAAAATAGTTGTACACTCTGGATATTTATTTCTTCATTGCTGTCTGTTAAAGATTTATATATCTCACAGGCAACAGCTGCTCAGTGCTGTGGTGCAACAGGCACTCAGGAAAGAATAAATGCTCCTGGTCTCACTGCCCCAGTGTAGGTTCACCTGGGTTTGCTCTAATGTAAAAGCAAATCCCCTCTGCTCCTGGGGGCCCCTGTAGTAACAAGAATGTGTCACGATGCAAGGCTTACAAGTGTGTCATATGTTAATTCATAAGAGCACCTCCTTGCTCTGCATGCTTGGCATGCAGGTACCTACAACAGCACTGCTTGTTATGTTGTTAAAAACAGGTTTGCTGATTTTTTCAGAACTTGAAAAGGCATAAAGGGTGGCTGGGACTAAGTCAAAGTTAAGGTCAAGAACATTTCAATTCCTGGTGGTATATGAGGTATTACAAAATCATCCTAATAATTGAGTGGTTCAAAGATGTAATTAAGGTTTAACTCCCTGGTGAAAGCAACGTTTGATTAACAACAGTCTGCTGTTAAATGGGATTATAAGCATTACCTACAGATATGTGATGTGTACTCTTCCAGTATGTTTTCCACTTCAACCTGATTTCACATCAACACTAGGAAATCCCTATTTCCAACATCACTAATGCAATTCACGCAGCTGGTGCCAAAATAAACTAAAGACTCACTTGTAACTACTCATGCTAAGCCACAACTGTCACTTTCCTTATCACACACCAGTTGGTAAAATACACTTTGAAGCCTTATGACCATTTCTGCTCCCCATTCCCATGTGTAGCAAAGACAAGTTGGCTGAAAGGAAGAGAAATAAAGGAGTTTGATGTAGACAAACTATTTCATTAAAGGTAGTGAAGATTTTAGTAACTAGACATTTTTTGCTAAAAACTGTCTTAAATACTGCGTATTTAAATGAGATAATAAGGGGGTAAAGTCCCTGAAAAATAAATTAAAAACAAAATTAAGGTAGGCAAGATTAGAATGATTTCATGGTACAGGATAGATAATCACTAGTTATATGTGACTATGGAGCCTCTGGTGGTCTAGTGGTAAGGGTGCGGTGCTGTCACCACCGAGGCCCGGGTTCGATTCCCGGTCAGGGCCACTCCCGGGCAGGTGGAGCTCGTTAGCCCTTAAAGGCAACCCACCTACGTCCTAAGGACCTCGCTGCCACCGTCCAAGCTCGCTTGGCCCCGGCAGATGAACCTTAGGATTAAAGGGTGGGCTCAGTTCCGCGCACACTGTGTCTCACCTAAAACATCCAAGGCACAGGCTCAAGGGGTAAAGACCTTCCCCGGATCTTCGCTCGCCAAGACTGGCCATTATTATTTATTATATGTGACTAGATATCCCAGTAGGCCTAGGTTCCTAAATCCAAGGAAATTATTTTTTAAAAGTATAGCTAGATCAGTCACAAAAAGTTCCAGCATCCTGTTTTGCAGTATGTGACATGGATTTTAACATCTGCTTAAGGCCCATTCTGAAATGTTCTGCTTAGCAGAATTTTTTTTCATCTTTTGCACAATTTAGGGGTTTTTTTTGAGGAATCTTAGAAAAGTTAAGTTTTTTTGAGTACAACAACATATTTTTAAAGATGTTGGTTTACTTCAAAGACTTGGTTGTGTTGTTTTCTTGCCAAGCTCTATTACAGATATAGAAGACAGATAATCTAAAAAAACCTGGCAGATTCTAGAAAAATGCAACCATGTTTAAGACTCCAACAGCAAAACTCAGTTTGAGAGCCATAGTATTTAAATGAGGTCATTGAGCAACATATTCCCCTGTCTCAAGATACTGAAACATAAGGCAAGGCAAATAGGGGAGACCATGCAAATACAAAGGATCTGTGTCAGTTACTGGCTTACCCAGAAAAGAAAAACAGAAAAAAAAAGGGAAGGAAAAAAAAAAAGGAAAAAATAAAGGGGGGGAAACACAAGAATAAAAAAACCCAAACTGTTATTTGTATGCAAAAAGTAAGAAACTGAATCATTACAGTTATAAAACAGAAAAACTCAGGATACATATTCAGGATACACATAAGGAAAAAACCTTAGTGTCAGTTCTTGACAACTGAGTAAGTATCTGGAAAAAGATAAGTGGCTTGATTTGGAATAAAGAACTTAACCTACAGTGTATAGCTTGTTATGTCTGCTAAGGCACCTGGAGGACTCCTTGTCTGTCAAAATCAGGTTGCTGTTAATTTACCACAGTGTAGTCTAGGGCATGAAAATGCCCTAAAATGATCTATTGGAAAGAAAAGAATTTGAAAATCTAGGTAAGTTTCCATAGTTAAGCTAAGTGTTAAGCTAAGGATGAATGACATTGCTAACTGGAACTGGGAAGCCATTTTATGTAATACAATTTTCCATATTTTAATTGATTGAAGAGGTACTCACTACAATATTTTAATATTCTGTGACTAAAAAAATCCATCACTAACATTTTGAAGAATAAAATATAAAAGTGAAATATTGCAAAGCATGTTTATTAAAGACTATCACAGCCATTCAGAGCTAGCAATAGTAATTATATCCTTCTTATCAGCACAGTACAAGTATGTTGAAGGAATTGGCCTCTTCTTGCATGTTATAACCTTTTTTAACTGTCAGGCCACTTGAAAATGCACCAAGTAATGGTGATCTGACTAGTGACCTTAGCTATAACTGCAGTGTTCATCTTGTAAATTTTTTGTCATTTTCTCTTGTGCTAGCTAGGAAGGAGTGAGAGCCAAACACATGATCCCTATCAAACCAAATCTCAGGCAGGAAGTAGATGAAAGCACAGGTACTATGTTCTGGGATCAAATTAGCCTTTGATCCCAAAAGGCTTTCTGCCTGGTGACCCTTAGTGATACAGGATATTATATTACCACAAGTAATTTCAGTAAACCAAGCAAATTTTTGTTATTATTATTAATGCCACTCAAAATGCTTATGTGTTAAGTGGGGACTGAGCTAGAGCAGTGTCTTCAAGGCACTGAGCTCTTCTGGGAAAATCTGGTACGGAAAATTAAATGACAGGGGATTTTGAATAGCATACATGGTACTTCAACAATTTCAGTGGCTACTCATTGCTTCCCAGCAATGGTGGTGAGCTGGACTGAGAAACTGAACCAGCTTTAAAACACAGAAACAGAGAAAAAGGAAAACAGAGGGAAAAAAGAAAGGAGAAGGGGTTAGTCAGTAGGCAGAATGCAAAACAGTTTCCTTCCTGTCACCCAAAGGATGACAGGATCACTGTGTGAAGGCTGGTGTAAGCTGGATACATGCAGCAGGAATTGGAAAAAGCAGGTACTCTAGAATGCCCTGGGCAGCACCATAGCTGAACCCATCATCAGTTTTAATTTTTAGTGCTCTATGCTCTGTTGAGCTTCGAAGTTCAATCCATCTTGCCACAAGTCTATGTGTTCACTTCCTTCCTGATTTGCAAACTTGCTCAAGAAATTTTCTCTTTAGAAAATGTCTTCCTAGACCATTTAAAATCTACCAAATCAGGGTGTCTCTTTTCTAAGTTTTCAGAAGGCAGGGGGTTTTGTAGTTCACTTTCCCCAGAAGAAAAAGAAATTTCTCCTTAACTTATGGAAAATGTACACTAAACAGCAATATTCTCCTATTTTTCCTTCTGTACAGAAGATACACTGAGCGTACACAGGATCTCTCTTGACTATCTACACAGTAACAATTGAAGCAGGTAGTCAAGCAGCATCTTCAGTATTTATAGTAGCAGTATCATTACCATAAGAGATATAGACAGACATTTATTGTGTAAGTACAAAGCAGGCTGAAAAAGGTATGTAAACGGGCTGATGCTGTGTCTAGCAGATTTCAAGCAATCGAGTCAGCAGTCCGTCCTATGCACAGAACACTTTATTACTGATCATTGTTTTTTTCAGTCTACTTGAATTAGCAGTTCTGGTCTCATAGAAGCTTGTCTTTAGGTGCAAATTCTTAACAACAGACAGCTTCTTTTCTGCTAAAAATGTAGCATGACTTCTTGGAACTTCCCAATACTATATGCAGCAATGTTAAACCTTTTTGTAGCTTGTGCAAAGGTGGTAGGGCATTAACTATCTACAAGAGCATTCTTGCAGAAAAGCCAAAGGGTGGGGAAGACAGGGAATTTTCCTCAACTGCCTCAGCTCACCGGCTTTAATTACCTGTTAATGTGAAACTCTCTGAAGTCTCCCTAAACAGCTTTCAGGTGGTTTTGAAGGCAGGGGTTGGCAAAAATAGACTCTGCTTCAGATTAAATTGCTTGCCTCCCCAGCTATTTGCATGATGAACAGCAAGCAGTTCATTATGTTAATGTCTAAGTATTGAGGCACACCTTAGGAGAAACATCGTGACAAACCACCTTTGTAAGAAACACATAAACCACCTTTGTAAGAAACACATGCTACCATTACAGCAAGAGTTCAAAAAAAAAAAAAAATTTTAGTCTATTTTGCCATTTGGTAGTGCCTCAAATTAATTCCACTGTCATCTGAGGAGTAAAATGAGACACCTGGGAGTAACTATGCATGACAAACCTGAATTGATATAAATAATATGAGCCCTCACAATATTTCACCCCCACACTTCTGTGCCACACTGCAGCAGCTAAACTAAGCAGGGACCTAACTGGAACAAAAATTATACAGACTTCTTTCTTTCCCTTTCACCAAAATATGCAAATAAATAAACCGACTAAACCTAACCAAGCACAGACACGTGAATGAATGGCCATATGGAGGTAAGGTAGGACTTACCTCAGCTGCAGCTTCAATTGTATGGAAACCTACAGTAAAAACATTTTAGGTCTTCATCATTAGGATTTTTTGGTGGTGCCTTTAGAGGTTCTTCAATGGTGGGAACAGGCAATATCATTTAGAAAAATAACTTTATTTTTCTGTACTCAATGTTAAAATAATCTGGAATGCAAGTTGAGCTTGACACAAAGCAGAAACCAGCAGTTCCATCAGTGACATTTAGACACTACTGCAGTTCTTTTAAGTTTTTGAGAAACTTAAGTCAGTTTGGATCCAAAAGCAAGAGTCCCGGTACAATATGAAGTAAAATTACAAGTCTAAATCTCATCAGGCACAAAACTGAAATTTCCCTGAGAAGATGTAATTACAAACTAGTGTATAAACTTTATATCACAGTATCAGAGGCCTTTAAGAGTACAAAAGCAAGATTTGGCTACAAAAATTTAAATGCAATTCCTTAATACTCCATGCTAAAGACAAAATTTTCAAGAGGACTAAGATTTACACGTAACAGGACTGCAGCAAGCAGACTGAAGTTAAATTATGACAGCTGGCTTTGCATATCCCCTTTTGCATAGTTTTCAGATCATTTCTAATATTATATTCCTGAGATCTTTCAGTACTCAGTACGAAGTCTGTGCAGCCTTTCCCCCCAACCCTTCATCTTTGTCTTCCAGCTAGCATTGCATTCATGGGAAAAAAATAAGGAATAACCATGAATAACATGCACTTTCCAAGTCTTAAAACAAACAGTTTAGCCAAAGAAAATCTATTAATTACACCTTCTAGATAACAAATATTCCAAATAGTTGACCTTCCAAAAGTTGCTGTTCTGATATTACACCTGAAGCTCTGAGCCTCAGTGTGCAACACAAGGGATCCCCATATTCACTTGAGACATGTCTGTTCTCCCCCTTGTCCATGGACAAGGCAGGGAGGGCATCAGCAGCACCACACCAACATGGTTTATTATACCCATCATCAGCATCATCTTCATCACTGTTACATGTCAAAGTACTTTGCAGTATAATACTTTTAATACTTGTAAGCTATGTTTTGTAACAGGAGCATAGAGTATTTCACTTCTTTTGCAAATACAAAGCCTTGTGTCGCAAATACTCTTCCAAACATTTCACTGCAAAAGGGTCAACATCAGTGTCAAACTTATTAGCAAATAAGTGGTGGTTTCGTAGCATCCAGTTCAAGTCTCCGACACCAAAAACACAGACAGAGCGAATGTGAACTCCGCTGCATGGTGGGTATGGTGCACCTTTGGACACGTCGCCTTCGAAGTACTGCCACTTGACAAACCTGGCCAGTGCATTCATGTCAGAAACGTCGTACTTGTCACTAGAAGAAACTGCACCTGGGACATCAGGGATTCTCTGAATTGTTGCCCACAGGTACTCATCTGGGCTGTAAGTATCTTTTGCCCACTCAATGAACTTAAGTATTTTGCTGCTTTCTAACACATATTCTACAAATCTTCTGCTAACTACAAAATAAGCACTACCAGAAAAAATTGGAGTACTGAGAGGTGGTAGTTGTTTGTCTGTGCCTGTGTTCTTTATTTTACCATCAATAATCTCATGGTGTTTTTTCCACCTTACTTCTTTATAAACAGGCATTTTTTCTGTTTCCAAGCTGTTTTCACCTTTAAGGGCTTTTAATTTCTCTACTATTTCCTGGTTGGTTTTTATAGGAAAGTCCATACCACATAGATTTATTAGGTATTTCCAGTTTGAACTTCTACTGTAGAGATCTTTCATGCAGTTAATGTCGGCCTGCACCCTGCTCCATGAAGCATATACCACACTCTCTAACTGGCTTGAAATAAAGACATTATCAAAGCATGAGACTATTCCCTTCACAGCGGAGAAAAAAGATCCTGGAGATTTTTTGTCTACATGAATGCAGTAAAAATTCTGTGGAGCGTAGATTGATCTCAGAAGTCTATCAAGCATCTCAATTTTGTGATAAACCACTATTGAGTAAGCAATCGGAAATTCTGCTTCTTCATTGCTGAGAGGTTCCATAATGTATTTCCTGGTCTTGGTGAAGGAGGCGCAGTCTGCCGTCATGTTAATATAATCATTTGTTGTTAGCCTGGGGCGTTTCTTAAATGACACTGACAATGTCTCAAGCTTTACCTTTTGTATTTCTTCTATATCCCCCTCAATAATCTTGGTGCAGTTAACATTGCTAATAGGATCTTCTTTTGTTAGCTCTAGATCTCTCCGATTTATGAAGTCTTCTTTCTGGTTAACTTTCAAAACTGAAATGATTACTAAAATAAGAGTTAGACCCAAGAAAAGCCTGAAGCGCAAGTTATGGCAAAACCGTAATTTCCTCTTCAGCATTTCAAATACCGGGTAGCTTCACAGAGCTTAAAAAAAAAAAAAAAAAAGTCCTCCCTTCTGCTCGTATCAGCATCAACAACTTCAGAAACAAGTTTGTGTTTCTCAGGAATTTGGCGAGTTTGTCAGGGAAATGGAAGGAAAAATCCTAAAAAAAAAAAATGAAATATGATGTCATTCAAAGACTAAAAGGTTTCTTAAAAAAATTAGTAATTAATAATCACATTGTTATTTAGTGACAGTAAAAATATGAATAGTTCAGCCAAAAATATTCTGTTGAAAATCAGAAATTAATAAATAAAATTAGTTTGTTTTTCTAGAAAAAGACTGGGAGAAGCAGATAGTTTTTTGTGAAACCCTATTTCCACAGTACGAAGACTACAAACCAAAGTTCAGTAAGAAAACAGAAGTGATTCAGCTGCATCTAACAAAATAAAAGTCAGATACATTACTGAGAAGCAATTATTTCTTGTTAATTCATGCTTCAGAGTTTGACAAGAATGTTTTATACCCCCTTCATTGCTGACATTGACATTATCATTAAAATTGACATTGACATTATCATTAAAGCTTACCACTTCCTAGATGGCAGTCATGCTTTATGTCTTATAATAAAGGAAGGCAATAAAGGCAAAGAAGATCCTAAAGCCTTTCAACATTTTTATGTGAGGTACAGTGTCTTCAATGTTTTGTGTGTGAGCTTAGAAATACTACCAGGGAACAGCTGATGAGAAGGGGGGTGGGAATTAACACAGCAGAGAGCTTCAGTTTTCAGAGTTGGGAGAACAACTGTTACTGAATTGCTGAAATACCTTTTTAAGGTAAAAGACAATACTTATCACCTATATCTCAAGCTAACTTGTGTGAAGTCACTGCAAATGCACAAATATAAGAGCACAGCTGTGTTGTATTACCATTGTTTAAAAACACTTGTTTTTATGTGGAGATGTGCTGCAAGGTTGAGTAGCAGTGAGATTTCTAGTATGACCATTTTATTTTCATTTTACTTCACAGGCACTACTTCATTTTTGCTTGTGAAGGGATCACTGCATAGTTATGCAGCTGCCACACCTATGCCTGTTGAGAAAACTGCAGTCTAAACTGTATTACGGAACTGGGTATCTTTTTTTTTCTGAGTAGTACCTTAAGCAGGTAAATTGATATTTACCTGAATATCAAGAACATGATCCTTAAACAACTTACACTGTTACTCAAGTGCCATTTCTCCTCACAAATTCACTGCCTAATACTTTAGTATAGGTTTGAATTTCAACCTGTATGGGCAAAAGCCTCTACAGTTTTCAAATAATGTCTTCCAAAATTTAGTTAAGTTAAGGAAATATCAAGTATTTGAGAGATATAAAGCTCCTTAAATTTTTGCTACTTTCAAGAAAAAAATAGTGCTTCTGAATAACTTTCTGAACAGCTCTAAGAATAACAGCTACTCAGAAAAACTGGTAAGAAACTTTAAGAAAAGAAGCATGTATGCATCCACTGTTCAGCATAAGAATTTCCCTTTTTTTTTTTTTGGCCCTCTGTTCTTTAAGCTACCCCAGTGTCATTTTAGCTTTCAATTCATAAACTGTGGCTTTTAACCTGCTATTTGCACGTCTCAGAATAGGTACATTTAAGAAATTGTGGCCTGGCATCAGAGTTTTTTTGTTAGTAACGCTGCCACTGGGATGCACTACACATTGGGTACACCACCTTGCCCACAGCACTGCAAACTGAGGGAGCTGACGTGTGTAGAAGATGGGGAAAAGGTGCAGATCACTGTACAAATATTTAGGGTGGCCATGAGGATCAGCAGTATTTTAAGTACTATAATCAAGCATTTTGTACCTCAAGCCAACAGCAAGCAGAGACCATAAACTAGACACGAATTTGTGACCAACAGCATTATATAAACATCTTAACTACTGTGAAGTGTACTTTGTTTTCAGATTTACAATTGTAATTATTTTATCATGCATTTCTAATTTATTTTAAGGAAGGCAGACATTTGTTTCCAGTCTGTTTTAGGTGTACAGTGAAGTCAAAATGGAAGAAAATTTAAATTTTAACCCTTAAGGCAAGTAGCCATGTGAGCTAGCATGCAATTACATCTGAAAACATTAGTACATTTTAAGAATCAGGTCTCACACTTTGAATTAAAAAAAAAAAATTTAAAGGAAAATTCCACAATTCCAGCTTTCAGTTTGCAATGTGACATCAAACACAATGACATAAGTCAGAACAAGTTTTAACATGTTTTATAACTTCATCATACACTTGCTTACTTGATGTCCTTACTAGTTTTGACTGGTAGATCTGATCCAATAAAAATAATATTCATCACATATTAAATTAACAAAGGAAGGATACAAGCTATGCATGTGATAGTGTCTATTACTGTTCTCTGCCTAACAAAAGTTATGACTTTGTTACAACTTAAAGTGTACTTCAAATACACTTATATTTGTGACACTTTAGGTGACAGAAGTTGGAATACTTTCTTTAAGCTGTTAGCACTACCATTTTATCCTATTCTTAGTTTTTAGAGGACCACTACTGTTAAAGAGTGACACTCAAGAAGATTACTCACTGTTTTTACAATGCAGGGAAAGAGTCTTAATTGAAAGTGACCATTGCAGTCTTCACCTTCTAAAATTTTCAAAGAATGAAGCTTTCCAAGAAGCCTTTTCTGCTCCAGTTTCAGAATAAAACTTAGTTGAAAGCAGGATAAAGAAGCTCTTTCAGAAAGGCCTTGTATACCCAGCTGGGTCCAATTCCTCTATTGTTATGAGCTCAGAATAATAAGACCCTGCATTTTTATTTTAGCAAAATGAGAGACCTGCAAATATTTACACATTAACATGGCTCTTATCTTTATGTGGAGATTTTTCCCCCACAAGTCAAATTTTTTTTCACTGACACACTGACTCCTGTGACGAATTTTGACAGTAAGTTACTATTTATTTCCACGTGCAATTTCTAAGTCCTAAAACTTGATCATATCCCATTCACAAAAGCTGACCTTTACAGGGTAAGATTTGGTACCTTTCATCTAATAATACACCTAATGTTCTTAACAAGCGTAGAATACTCATCAATATAGCTTCAGACTGCATTCAGTAAAGCTTTTAACATCTTTTTCTTTAGCTATGTGTAGTTCTAGTGTCCACACTCGAGAATACCATCAGAGGCAGCACTTGGCACTGTGGGAGAGCCAAGAGAGGTTTCTGCAGCCACAAAGAAACAGCTTTATTTGGCAACCGTCGTCTTACTCTCAACTGAAGTTCAGCTGCAGAAGTTACCTGACCCACTTCCTTTTTTTACTGCCTCCTACTCAAGTCAGTCTGTACTTCTGATGCAGTACTCGTTAAAGGGGGAAACTTACAGCAGTTGATGCTAGCTGGGGGAGTCAGTACCAAGGCTGAGTTAGCTGCCCACTTCCCTCTTTCCTGCCAAAATTATTCTTCACTGCTGTATACAAACTGTACAGTATGATTAAACAAATCCAAGAAAATTTCAACTTGATTTCTATAGAAACTCATGTTTGCCATTTAAACAGACCTTATGGAAAGAAGGATTACTATACCTAATTTACATCTCCTTTTGACACCTCTTCTGTGTCAGAGAGCTTATCACTTGGCTCATTTGCATCTTAAGTTTGTTTTGTGAAAAAGTATTATGCACCTGGCAGTTTGGGAGAGATCTTGCTTAAAACCAGACCAGGTTTAAAACCAGATTTAACTTTTATACAACTGTAAAGGTGCTACTGTAAAACAGCCTATTTTGGTAACAATGTCTTTATCTGGTCACTATATAAATCTGTGCTAACCCTACATGCTAAATTACTTAGCTGCCCCATGGAACTGACTGAAATGAGTGAGCAGTAGACTACATGAATATTTATGATAAAGGAGCCACAGACAGAAGGGAGCAGCACCCTCTGAGTCCAGCTCAGCACATGATTTTAGATAACTTTGGCTTCACCTATCCTTAAAAGCAAATACAAAATCCCACAAGAAACCTAGGTTTCAAAAAAAAAAAAAAAAAACACCAACCAAACAAAAAACTTTTACAAGATCATACCGCAACTTGGAGGGAGACTAAAGGTCACTAAAGGTTTTAGGCCGACAGGCTGGACTGGAGCTGCCAGTCCTAAGAACAAGGATGCTTTTGAGGGCACAGAGCCAGCAGAGCACTGCAACACCAGCCCTAACGAAGGATGTGAGCCTCAATCCAGCATCGTGGACACCAGCATTTGGCCACCAGCACAGCAGATCTCTTCAGCTGCAGTTTCACAGTGCAACTGGTCTGACATCATGATGTGCTGCTGGTGGAAGGAACAACCCCACTCCCATCTCTGCAAACCACACATCAGGCCACGAGGGGTACAGCAACAGATCCAACCAGCTGGGCTCTGGGGAGGTCTCCAACATCAGCTCTCCACAAGAGCCCTTGACAGCTCCAACCAGCCCCGTCTGCACTCCCTGTGACCCCACTGCACGCCAGTGATGCCACTGCAGGGCCAGTCTCCAACCCCCAAAGTCTGGCCATGGACAGTGACAAGGTGATCCAGCCCAGCCTCAGCCAGGGAGGTGCCTGATGTCAGGGACGCTGTGCTCCACTCCTAACCAGGCCCTGACAGACCTGACACGGGAAGCCACCAGCCCTGCGGTGCCATGGAAACCTCCCCTCACCATGCCACAGTCCTGCAAACACAGGCTCTGGGCTGTAGGCTCTCGCTTGGACTGATAGAGCTGGGAGTGAGTGACAGACATTCTCCTAAATGAGGTGAAAAGCAACAGCAACCAGTGTTACGCTAGAGTGGCACCACTCTCTGGGCTATTCACTTTTCCTGAGTTATGGCACAAGTATTTGGAAAACTGGATTCCTGGCACTCCAGGGCCTCCCTCGTGCCAGCTCACCTAAAACACATCGTCCTCCTCTGTCCTGCCTGAAGCAATTTAGAGAGCAGAGTGAAATAGTAAACTAAATATTTTTTTTTTATTGAATCAATTGCCAATACATTTTCAGTCAAAGTATATTTTTTCCTCTAAAAAAGCAGTTAGGGCTTGCAGTGAAATGGTGCACAGATCCGTGTCATGATAAGATGAAAATCATTAGGGGCTGGTGGCATAGGAATAAAAGAGAAAAAGCAGTGGTCTTTTGATTTTGGCACTTCATTCTTCTCTCATATCAGTGAAAAAACAGTTGATGCAACACTTCAAACACTGATTCAGCAGAAGTACTGCAGCCTCTAAAACACATCTTGGGCCAGTATTAGCACCAGAAATTCAGAAGGTAGCAGGTACGCGGTAAGAAAGTACTCTGGGGTACTTCAGCAGCCTGTACATTTTGTCAAAAGTTGGCAAAAAGGCAGGAAAGACCTTAGAGTTAGGAAGCATCACAGAAGCTGGCAGAAGGCCAAAACCAGTTCTAACAAGAGCAGGGAAGATCTGATAGGTCTTGTGGGCTTACCTGCAACATCCTGGTGTCATGACTCTCTCAGCCTGGTGGGCTGTTGAACTAAAGTTCCCTTCATTTTTCTTCTTATTCTGCTTCCTCTAACAAATACCAAAGAAAGCAGACGGTGATGTTTGCTGTGCTGTAGTTGCTTTGGTGACTTTTGGCATAAAGGCACTGTGGAGAGGATCCACAACATGAACATTAAGCATAGGCCTCTACTTTATATCCACAGACACATTAGCTTTTAATCAAAGCTTTACAACATTACTTGAAAACTTCCTGGCAGTTGAACATCCTACATCCATGCATGACAACATGAGACACTTATTTTTATAGAAATGTACTGAAGAAAAGCCAAGTGGAAAATGCAGTAGTGAGTATATCCACCTCTGAAGTGGTAGTTGGGATGGGCCAGGAGACAAGAAATCATTTTGATGAGTGGGGAGTGAGAGTCAGAAATGACTTATTTCTCTCTCTTCTCACTCTGGAGGAAGGGAAGATATAAGGAAACTTCAACTACCCCTGAGAACAGTAAGTGGTGTTGACCACATCTTTGCTGTTCTCTTTCCCCAATCTGAAATTCCACCTGAGATACAAACCTTTTCCTCAAAACTACAGAATAAGGCCCTCCACTGAGGGTGGATTAGCTGGAAAGCCCTTGAATTTTACCAAGCCATATCTGGGATGCTTCCAAGCCACACATCCCACAGTTATTACAATCAGCCTGCTTCCATTCCCATTCAGTTATGCAAAACATTCATTCTGATGGGGAAGTAATTTTTAAACCTGTAAGCAACTTGCATGAACACAAACATGCCTAAGCACAAAGACTGACTCAACAGACACAGTGCTATCGGCAGAGATCTGCCAGACACAGAGCAAAGTCACATTTACTCAGCCTCACCACGATATCAAGCAGCACAATCTTGAAAGTAGATATGCCTGTAACTGGATGAAAGAACTCATGTTTGTTCCATTAGATAGTTTTCAGTCTTAGTGAAAATGAGAACTGGCCATAAGCTGAGTAGTTGTTTTACCATTAGACTTTATGGGACTCTTAACTTTGAAATCATGCAGAGACAGCAGCAGGGTTTCATGTGGGTACAGTTGTCTGCAATTGACAGCACTCTGCAGGAGTAGGGCTTTTCTTTCAGAGCTGCCTAAGAAAATAATAAAAGAGAAAAATATAGTCCCTTTTTATAGAAAAAAACCCCACACATTTCTAGTCCCTTTTAAACAAAACTCTACAAATGACTAGTACTGCTATGTTCACCACTATGTGGAAGTTAAACAATGAGAGTAGATAAAAGTAGATAGCTGTTTTTTCAGAGACAAAAATAAAGGATGAAAATAAATTCAAACCTTTGGGTTATTTTTGGAGAGCTTATGTTCAAATATCAGGAATCTGACACACTAAAATATTTGTTTTTAAAAAAATGAGTAAAACCCCATGAACACATACTCTGTGTAAACTGTAAATTGAAAAAAGTTACTAGCCTTTCTAGTACACTCTTGTACTACTGTATCAAGTAAATCTTATGCAGAACATTTCAAAGCCTGATTACTATTTGCATTCCTGTCTGTCCTTAGAAGCCCCACAGACAGAGCAAACGGTAAGAAATTTCAACTAAGGAGAGTAAAGATGCTATGGCAAAGTCATTCAGTGACCAATTCCTACCTCAAGAATTCTGTAACTCTTCGCATGGACAAAAAGATATGTGTTACCTCCAGGTAACTAACACTGAAATTACACAGAAATCCCAAAACAAAAAGATGACAAAATCTTTAAAGTAATGTCAGCCAATTTAACGCCCAATAAAACTGCCCAGTGTTCATCAAGATAATTTGGCTACTTCAAAGTAAAATGCTTAACTATTTTTTTCACATTACTCTAAAGTAGGAACTATAATTTCACCAGAAACAAGAGCAGTCCCTGCACTCCTCACACCCACCTACAAAATGTTGCTGATCCCTGCCTTCAGACACTGCTGTATTTCAGAATGGTACACACTGGCAGGAAAAGTAATCAATAAAAACACAACTAAATCTCATGGCAGAAGGAAGAGGCTGTCAAATTTTTGAGTACTTGGATCCCTCTTCAAGCCCAACATATAAAATATTCTTTAGCCCTATGTAGAAGCCAGCATCTTAAATCCATGCCTACACTTAGCGTTCCTCAGTGCGATAAAGGATCATCAGTGAGCTTTCTGGGATAACCTATCACAGATGAGGTTTCTGTTTGTTTTATTAAGTTCCTCTAATAGCACCACAATTAACCTGTGTATAATAATGTTTCACAGTGCAAGAAGTGGTGTCCTTGGAGCTGTGAAGTAAACCTAATAGTACAAGTTACTTGTACTGTTGGGCATGCTACATTTCTGTGGAACTACCTTTTTTCACCATTCCTTAAACAGAATTTTAGGTTGATAAAGTTAGGTGTTCTCAAGAGCAAGTTTCAGGAGCTTTTAAACCAAAGTAAGTGGAGAACTTTTGAATTATGTTGAAAGCCAAAAGAAAACAGAGAGGAGATTATTAAAAAACAAAATTAAATATCTTCATAAAATTAGCAGTGGGCTTTTCGATGTGGTAACAATGGCAACAAATTTGAAGAGCAGGATTTTGTTCAGTGAACACCATATTCTCAGCAAATAAACTGTAAACCTTCAGCTTGTATGTTCACCTTTGCATTTAGTTTATGTTAGAAAAAAAGTCAGACTTGGCAAAGGTATTCGGGTTTATTAAGCAACTTTTGGCTCTTCTGGCTTCAGGAATTAAGTATTATCCCAGACAATTCAGATTTCATAGGAAAGACATTATGCTGATAACTAACATTTATTATAGGCAGAGTAGGAAATCAGTGAAGAGAGAAAATATAAGTAGTATTTTCTTTTGTATACACATACTTTCAAAAGCAATATACCACTGTAACTGAACTCCAACTGGAGCTATAAATACTGTATTACTTTTCACAAGGATTTTCAAGTTGAAATAGACAGGAAAGCTGTATTTGTCCCCTCTTGTCTCACTACCATTTCTGACTGTCATTCTTGCCAGCTCTGTGGTCACCCACCTCATATTCCATTAAAAATGAAATTTAAAATAGCGGACTCCAAAACGGCAATTCCCTCCTGCTGCCACTCCTCCTCTTTCCCACAAAGAAGTCTACTTTTCAGAGCAACACTGAAAGGAGGCAAAGTGCCAGAGCATAACTGAAACTCCTGTCAGGTTTCTTTCACAGTCCTCTCACCCAACCTGGGCCACAGAAAACTATTTACAACCTTCCAAACAGTTTCTCAATTCTGAAGGAAGAGGAAAAAAAAAAGGGGGGAAGAAAGAAAAAAAGGTAGTTTCAGTGAGTTTGGGGGGGGGTTGGGGGGAAAGCCAAATCCCAGGACTGCAACACCTCGAGCATCAGACGTCCCCCGAATTCTGTGCTCGCTATCAGATTTCACACCCAATGACCACACCCCACCCCGCCTCCCCGAGGGCAACAGCCTGCCCCAGGCTCCCCTGCACGCACTGCCCAGGAAAGAGGCAAAGGCAGGATGGGGAGAGACAGGCAGAAAGTAGGAAAACAAAACAAACAAGCAAGAAAGGAAGTGTGGAGAGGGAAAAGCAGAGGAAAAAGGCAGAAGGCAAACGGGGAGAAAAGGGAAAATAGTTACAAGCAAAGAGAAAAGGAGAGAGGGGAGAGGGAGATAAAGGGAGAGAAAAGGAGGGGGAAAGCGGGGAAAGAGGGAAGAAGGGGGGAAAAGGGAATAAGGAAAGAAAGGAAGGGGAAAAAAAGAGAGAAGGGGAGGGAAGGTTTGGGAAGGGAAGGTTTGGTTAGGAAGGGAAGAGAGGGAAGAGAGGAGACAAATAAGGAGAGAGGCACAAAAAATGCGCCTCCCTGCGCTCCAGTGCGGCACCTGCCCGACGATCCTGCCGCTCCTGGAGTAGGGCTGCTCCGCTCCGCAGGTCAGGGCGCCCGGGAAGAGCGATGCTTCGGCCCGGCAGTGCCGCCACCCGCTCCGGGGCGCGCCGTTCCCGGCCAGGCAGCGCCCACCTGCGGGGCCGCGCTCGGGGCGGGCCGGGCCGGGCCGGGGCGGGGCGGGGCGGGGCGGGGCGGAGCAGCCCCGGGACCCGCAGGGAGCCCGGCGGCGCGACACGACCCCGCCTGCGGCCCGACACTGGCCTGGCCCCCCGAGCGGCCCCGCTGCTCTCCCGGCACCACCCACACATCCACCCCCTAGTCCGGCATGTCCCGCCCCTGCCTCTCCGCACCACCCCCGCCCCAGTCTTCACCTGGACCGAGCCAGCTCCAGCAGCCTTGGCAATGGCTATGTTTGTCCTTTTTTTCCTTTTTTTTTTTTTTTTTTTTTTTTACGTTTCCCCAGGTAGTGCCGGTGGCGTTGGAACCCACGTAGGACGGGGGCAACTCCTGTGCGACTCAAGGCGACAAAGGGCTTTCTCGGTGTTCCCCGACAGGAGGAGAAAACACTCGCAGGGCATAGCCCCAGACGGCCACGCACCCACCGGAGCTGGTGGCCAGGTGCCACCTCGGGGCAAAGGGGAGAGCCACCGCGAAGGCGCTGAGGGGCTCGGGGTTCGTGAGCGGGGACCCGGTGAGGCTGCTGCTTCCCAGCCTACCGGAGCACACATGTGGGTTTTAAGTGAGAGGATGGGGTGGAAAGGGACCCGGCCTGACTGGGAAGCCGTGCGCGAAACTTGCAGCGGTGAAGAGTAAAAACATGCCTGGATAGAGTCTGAAGACGACTCTGATTTCTTGTTTGCTTTTTCCCATCAAATATCTGTCCGACGATACATTATCCACGGGATTTGGAGAGCTGTGAAACATGAAGGTGGAGCCTACGGGCAAGCAGCCTCGTATTATTTTGCCAAAGTACTTAGAAAGAAAACAGAAAATTAATTTCCAGGAAATAGAAAGTTCAAAGACAGTGTGTACCTCATTAAAAAATCCCGAGTGCTGCAGCCTGCAGCAGCTTGAACAGTGCTTGTAGAATTCCCCTAAAATCCCTGCACATCAGCGTTATCTGGAGTGCAGCATGATTTGGAGAGCATGTGAGCTGGAGGCACATAAGACTCTCCTGTCCTTACTTCATCCCAGTTGTGAGCTCCTATTGAAGGGTCCCACATCTGCACGGATCAAGAGGCTGGAAACTGACAAGAAAATGAGAAGATTGGGCTTCAAGGCTGTCACTAGGAGATAGCTGCCAGAAGAAAGAGGAATTGCCTCTATCTGTCACCACTTGGAACAGACAGTTTATTTTAGGAATAAGCTGCAAAATCTCAAATCTTCATCGTTAGTTGTCAAGAAAATTTTCACTGGATGTATACCCTCTGTGTAGAGAAGTAGTGTCTAACTGCATGCTTTCTTGGCAATCTTCCCTTTTTTTTAACAGGTCTAGTGGGGGGAAAGGGAGTCTTCTAGTGTGTCTGTTACTTACAGGGCTGAACTTCTGGTTCTTTGTGGAGCACCATGCCAAAAAGGCTTTTTGTCTCTAAACCCAGCAGAGGCTGGTAATAGGAGAGAGAAATCTGTGGGGATGGGGCAAGATTTCCTATTAGTTTTTCCCATGAAGAGTAATGTTCTGTCATCAGTAATGATCTATGATTACAGGCAGTGATTGTATCCTGTTGGTCTTGCAAATTAGAAAAATAAGAGCATAAATTTAAGTACTTGTTCTCTTGCTAAACCACCTGCAATGCCATGCAGAATTGTAATTTCAGTACAAGTAAGTAACAGCAGAGCTGAACGCCGAGTATTCTTAAGAGTGTGAATTGGGTAAGCTCTGAGGGCAGATGTTTGCTCTGATTATTTTCCATCCCCCCTGCCCTAGTTACTTACACAGCTAAAGATGCAAAGAAGTGTGTGATGCAGTCATCAACCAGAGTTGATGAATATTTGTGCCGAAACAGAAAGTACCTCTAACAAGTACTTCCTGTGGAGAGAAGAAAAAAAAAAAAGGCATTACAGTTATTACTGAATGTAGTTATTTCAGGTAGATAGCTGAAGTTAAGAAATCTTTTATTCTCTAACTCTTGCACAGATAGAAAGTGAAGTTCTCCATAGACTGACATGATTACAGAGGCTGTGATCCTTGGCTGACCATGCAGGCAAAGACTCATTTGTTTATTGCAGCTTTGTAATATTTCAAGGACCATAAGTGTTTGACTTATGGTTCCTTTCATGGATAGTTTTTGTCAACTGATCCTGAAAAAAAAGGGAAGAATTGGGTTTGCACCTGGTTTTCACTTTTCTAACCTTGAGTCTGGAATATGAAGATGACAGAGTCCACAAGCTGCCCTCCCTTCCTGCTCTGTGACAGACCACTGACAGATGTGACTGTATGGCAGCTGTAAAGCAAAAGTGAAAAGGTTATGTCATTTACAATTTTGGAAGTACTGACAGAGAAATTAAAACAGTGGAAAAAGTGGAACTTAGGGACAAAATATAGACAAAAGGGAACAAAAAGCAAGTCAAAAATATGGGAAATTTAAAATACATAAATGATTTTGCTGTGAATTTTGATTGGTTGGAATGAAATCAGCTTGAACAGGAGTATTTCATAGATGTGGTAAGACCAAGAATCCAGTGAGAAAAAGGCATACAAACAACACTGAGAAAGTTTCAAGAATAGTTTTTTGTGCATGGCTAAACTTACATAGTTACAGTGCAGGAGAATACAGTTTAAATATATTTCCACTAGGAGGACAGCTGTCTTTGTGCTTTCTCCAAGCTGGTATTAGTATCTTATTTGTAATTTGACAGCTGCCTTCAGGCTTTTAGGCTTTTTCTTGGAAAACGTAAAGAATACAAAACATTTCTGAAAAGCTCAGATTTGTTTTATGCTATGTCAAAAGTTTAAGCTGCAAAGAATTTTTTAAACCTAATGTTTACTGCTAATTCTTGTATCTTCTCAATTTTACCAGTTTTAAGGAAGTAAAAGTTTCCTTTTCCTGAAAGTAAGACAGTGGTCTTGCATATTGTAATGTTAACTGAGTTTTTGTGTCTTGTGGTAGTTCAGACCTAGCTTTAGGAATTTGCAAGATTCTAGTATAGATAATAACCTCAGATAGACAGAGGATCTTAACCCCATGTTTGAATCCTGCTAGGGCTTGAAGGTTTCTCAATAAAGAAACTGTGATCTTACTACCTTAGCCTTCTCTAAGGAAAAGAGTTGCTACTATCCAGAAATTTGTATTATCTTTTCTGGAAACATACCTAGTAACATTTCTTTTTTTTGTAAATTTGAAGAGATGTTCTTGCCCTAGATTCCCCATACTGCTGGCTTTGTACCTGAACAGGGGAAAAAAGTGATCTTCAGTTTGCAGATGAACACTTGAAAGCTGAGCCTCTGCATAAGTCAGGGTGGGGGTGGAGAAATGCAAACACCATGTGCTGAAATAAAAGGTCAGAAGAAGATCATCACAGCTGCCAAAACCACATTAACACAAAACATTGTCTGACAGAAGACACCTCAACCTATTTAAGAAAATAAAAAAAATACACCTGAAGCACATTGTACAATTTTTCTCTTTGGAATAAAGTGTCTTCTGGTATGAGCCAGTATTAATTAGTAGGAATGAGCATGGGTCATGCCTAAACTTAATAAGGGAAGGTCATAGTTTTTTCCTCAGACTATGTGTAATACATATTAGAGACATTCTTTTATTTTAGCTGTTGTGCGTTTACACAGAATTGTCATACTTTTTGAGAGACAATTTTTTCAGGTAAGTTTAAAATATGTTTAATATGAATGAACTGTGTCAGTACTGCATGATCAAGAACATCCTGGGACAAATTCTTTCGTGGACATTGGCTGGCAGTTAGTACTAATTACAGAACTGAAAACTGTGTGGAGTGGATTACAGCCCTGAGTTGCCAAAATTAACTGTAAAACATACACTGGGTAAAATAGGGGCCTCTCGTTGTACCACTGTGGTGGGTTTGACCTTGGCTTGCTGCCAGATGCCTGCCCCATTCTCTTGCTTTGCTTCCTTCATGGAATAGGGTGAGAAAATAAGATGGAAAAGCTTATGGGTTGGAATAAAGAGAAGGACGTTACTGAGCAATTACCATCATGGTCAAAACAGACTCAACTTGGGAAAGATTAATTTACTGTCAATTAAAAATAGAGTGGAATGGTGAGGAAAAACAAAAAAAGCAGACAAAACTATAACCACCTTCCCCTTAGACCCTCTGGCTTCTTCTCAGTCTTAACTTCAACCCCTCACTTCTGACTTCTTTCTCCCTGAGTGGTGCAGGGGTATGAGGCAAGAGCATTGTGATTAGTCTATAACTGTCCCTCTCTGCCACTCCTTTATCCTGGTGCTGTTCCCTTCCATGTCCCTCTGAGGGATACAGTCCTTCGCAAACTGCTGCAGTGTGGGTCCTTTCCACAGGGTTCTGTCCTTCAGGACAGACTGCTCCAGCACGGCTCCCTGCCCTGGTCCGCTGCTCCTGCCAGGAGCTTGCATGGTCTATCCACTCTCTGCAGCTTCCTTTAAAACACATCCACCTGCTCCAGAATGGGATCTTCCATTGGCTGCATGTGGATATCTGTTCAACTGTGGTCACCCATGGGGTGTAGTGGGACAACCTGCTCCACTGTGTTCTTCTCCAGGGGGCTGCAGGGGAATCTCTGCTCCGCATCTGGACACTTCCGCCCCTTCCTTCTCCACGGGCATTGGTGTCTGCAGGGCTATTTCTTCCATTTTTCTCACTCTTCTCTCTCACAGCTGCTATACAGTGGTTGTTACACTTTTTAAAATAAGTTATCACAGAGGTGCCACCAGTATCACTGACAGGCTCAGCTTTGGCCAGCAGTGGGTCCATCTTGGAGCTGTCTGGAACCAGCTGTGTCCTATATAAGGCATCCCCTAACCTCTTCTCACAAAGAGAGAGGCTTCCCCCTGCAGCTCCCACCTCACCCCACCGACTTTGCCAACTAAACCAAATCAAACCACTTAGGTTATTTTTTGTTACTCTGATCCAGCTAAAAAGTGTGACTTGCTGATTGCACTGAAAATGTGAGAAGCGTGGCATTAACATGTCTGCTGGAGGAATGAATATCCTCTCCTGCTGGCTGGTTTGGCAAAAGTGGTGAAAGATCAGCCTGGTGTAGCCTGGCAAAGCCAGTACTTTGACCATAAGGAGAACCAGTAAAATTCCTCCCAAGGCACTAAAAAATGAAACAACTTGAAGTTTTGAACTATTTCAAATTTTATTTATGAAGAGTATCAATTGTCTTAGAAATTCCCCTCTCCAAAGTAATAATGTATTTTGTAGCCAGTTGTTATACAAACTGGTAGTCTGGTGCTAAGCTTCCTATACGCACTTTGCCGACATCACAGACTTCAGGGTTGTTAGTATAACATATACAGCTAATATGATTTCATGCTATATTGTCTGGTGTTGCTACTTGTAGACAGGATTAAAAAAGAATTCTCTATCAGCACTTTTTTCTGGCATATCCAAACATTAATGCCAGCTTACGACTGAATCTAAATTGCCTTTGTATGTTATTTATATGTGCAATATTAACCTCTTGCCTTACTTTGTTCTTTCTTTATCATCAAGCTTTCAACACTGGCTTATAAT